CATTCCTTTTTTTTTTATTTATTTATTTAATTTTTGTTTCCAACGCAAGGATTTAGGGTAGTTTTTTTTTTGTTTGTTTACAAAATAGACATTTTTCTGATTTGATTTATTTTTAATGAGATAAATTTTCATAAACTAATTTTCCTGTATATATTCTGTATACTCAAGATCATTAAGCAATCCTAGACTTAATTCAAAATTTCAGTCAGTCATGTAAAGAGTTATTTATTATATTTATTAAACTAACCTTTGAACACTAAAATTCCCAGGGGATGGTGCGTGGTGGTGATTTTCTTGAATCAGATTGTTTATTTTAATACCCTTGCAGACAGAACATTTATACCTAAGGGACAGTTTTTTTAACTTAATTTTTATTTTCTTTTTTCACTTAGAAAACTTCCCATAGTTCTTAGTGGAGAAGAGATTATTAATCACATGTATATGCAAAATTTTCAAAGGCAAAGTGTTTGGTTTCAAATTCTGATAACCCCCCCCCCCCCCCGGATCAAATGGTCAACCCCTTAATAACACGAAAGGGAAACATCCAAACATCCTAAGTTTATTTGTGTTTCTATGGAAAAAAATAAGACAATACTAGTATACTGATCATACTTTGCAAAAATATAATTCAATTTTTTAAAATTGCTAACAAAGATTTCAAGCCTTCTCTTTAGAATACTATGCTATATATGAAATTTTCAAGGGTGTTAACTTTTTTGATTAACAGTTCTTGGATTAGAGAAAACTCCGGACAACTGTTCAATGTAATTTATTTATCTTCCATCGACATGATGGTATTTGATGAAGTATTTGATATGTTATATCATCAATGACATGGTGATCTACAATAAATATGAAAACTTACGTACCGTCCATTCACACATTAAATATTTAGATGAAATTTATATCAAATGTTTAATTCATAAATTAATTTACTGAAAATATAAAATAGTTTAATTAAAATATCTTACCATGTAGACAGAATTTAAGCTCCTAATTATAAAGCTATGTTACGGACAATGACAGTCCCCGTAACGTCCGTCTATATCAGAGGGTTTTCATAAAGTGATTTAAAATAATATTACTGCATGCAAAGGTTAATAAAGTTCGCGCCAGCCATGCGCAATGACTGGAAAAACCAGTCAAACACACCCATACACATCCCATACTCACGGTATGACATCAGAGGTCATGAACTTACAAACCATGAATGAATGAATGAATGAATGAGATGACGCATGAGAAAATTATCATACATAGTAACATAGTAAATACTAATCTTGTGACATTCTCCCTGTGCAAGAGGAAAATGTCTCCTGACATTTTATCTGAAAATAATTTGTGAATCATTATACTATGAAAAATACTAAAGTAACAAATCTAATATGCATTATAAGCATTAAGTCATAAAAATACTCTGTTATGTATCATAACCATCTCGTCATAAAACTCCATTGTTACATATATTGTAACCATTATCAAGTCATAAAACTATATACAGTAGAGTCCATGTACCACTATCATGGCATCTATAGTTTAATTCAATATCATAAAATACTGTGATATTCTCTCCCTGTGTCACTTACATATACCAACTTCTTGATTTCTCTGTGTCACTTATACATACCAAACCTGCTGATTTCCCACATACCAACTACCAAATCTATCAGGAGGGTTTTTTTATTCTGGTAGATCTCCTAGGAGATCTAGGCGGTGAAATTACAGTAACAGGACTTACACTTTTAACATCTCCATCTTGTAGTAAAGATGGGGATAAAGGTGGTAAATCAATGTTGGGTACAGACAGAATGTGAGACTCTTTGTCTGTCTTTACAGTCAAATCTGGATCGAACTGTGTTGATTGACGATAACCACGACTTAAGTTGTCGGAACTTACTTTGCCCTCGGTACCGAAAGATTTTTGAAAATCATTTAACTGGTAGATACTTGATGTATCAGGCTTAGTCCGACCTCTCTTACCTGTACGTACTCTATACAGCTCATCCTCACTCGATGATTAGGTCTCCTCTGAATCCTCCTTTTCAACTAATCTAGTAAACTGTCTCGTCTGTTTCTCTGTTTTCATTGGACATCTTCTTAATCCTTCTGTGGGAATAGTGGTATCTGAAATATACATAAATGGTAATAATAAATTTCTATGTAAAGTTTTGATCTTTCCTTTACCTGAATCTTTTTGGACTTTGTAAACTGGTATTTCTGGATTTGGAATGTCAATAATCCTGTAAGGTTCTTTTTCCCATTTGTCTGATAATTTGCTCTTTCCTGACTTAACTAAAACTCTGATCAATACTTTATCTCCTATTTCTAGTTGTGAATTTCTAACTCTGCTATCATACTTCTGTTTGTATCTGTCTGTGTTTTTATCCATATTTGTCCTAGCAACTTTGTAGGCAAAATCTAAATGTTTCTTTAGTTTATCCACATAGTCTTCCCTACTCCTAGGCTTTTCAGACAACTCATCCAATCCTAGGTAAGCATCAATGGCAAGTCTTGGGTGACATCCAAACATCAAATAATGTGGAGAATACCCTGTGGTGTCATGCTTTGTAGCATTGTAGGCTTGCACTAAAGGTTTAATGTAGGATTTCCAGTCCTCTTTCTGATAATCCTCAAGCGTACCTAACATCTTCAATAAAGTCTGGTTAAAGCGTTCTACATTCTCATTCCCCATAGGATGGTAAGGGGTTGTACTACTTTTACTTACTCCTGCGATGTTACATAACTCTCTCACTAACTTACTCTCAAAATCCCTGCCTTGGTTCGAGTGTATTCTCTGTGGAAATCCATAATAACAGAAGAAATTTTCATAAAGCGCTTTAGCTGTTGTTGTAGCTTTCTGATTCCGTGTAGGGACAGCAACTGCATACTTTGAGAAATCACAAGATGAAACACTTCCTTTTAGTTTGGCTTAATGGTGGCTTATAGGTCCTTAATGAGGGTTTAATGGTTGTCTTTAAGTCACCATTAAGCACCTTTAAGCTACATTTAAGTAATAAATACACCACTATTAAGTTACCATTAAGCCATCTCAAAGTCCTTAATGGATGCTTAAAGGTAGCTTAATGGTGGCTTATAGGTGCTTAATGGTAGCTTCTAGACAATCATTAAGTCACCATTAAGCCACCATTAAGCCAGACTTATAGGTGCTTAATGTCCAAACTCCATTAAGCTACCAATAAACCACCTTTAAGCCACCATTAAGTCACCATTACGCAGTCGATAAAACTGCTTTTATGGGTTAAATATTATTTTTATAATGATTTCTTCACAAAAATTATAAATGTCGAGTTTATACATTTGTGAATTCGGCGAAAATAATGTTAAAGAAAGAAAATTTAAAAAAAAAAAAATAAATGAAAAAAAAAGAACATTCCCAACATGATTCGATCCCTCGACCTTTAGATTGGAGGACGAACGCTTTAACCACTGAGCTATCGAGGCTGTTGAAAATGGTGTGAAATATAACAACTTTATTTTTAACAAAACTTGTTTGGAATGGTTAAAGGTACCTGTACATGTATTTTTTTTCTGATGTTTATATTTATTAATCAATAATACAAATAATTTTATTTATATATTTTTGAAAAAAGAAATTTTTATAAAGTTTTATATTACGTTAATATTTCTTAACCGTGGACCGGAATTCGGTGTGATCGTGTGAAACAACCCTTTGATTTTAAGTAACTGAATTCCTCGTTCTGTTATTCGCAGATTTATAAGCATGAAAAGATTAAAATTCAACAGATATAACAAAATTTTGTTATAAAAAAGGAATATATCATCGAAAGAGAACGATGGGGAAAAAAAAAACAGATTATAGTTCTTATATATATGCTGCGGCTATTTACGATTTTTGACAATCTTTGCGTAACAAGTAAGTTATAAAATATTTTTGTAACATATCATCTTCAGTTTTAATTCTTTTTTATCATTATGGGTATCAAAATAATTGTCTTTTTGTGTACAATCATAATTTCTAATTTGTTATATGCTTGCGTAAATTTTAAGTTTTGTAAAAATAATATATCATCAAAATCTGTCACTGTACGTTCCCGTGTATAGTTTCCTGTTAATTGACCGGGGACTAGTGGGGACACCTAATCAAGGTCTATTGTCTAACTAGTCGATATACTGTACACTGATTATTTTACCCCGCTTCTCAATGTGTATAAATCTGGTCGGATGCCCTGTTTAATCTGATCGGCTGTTCTTCTGAAAATTGATTTTGAAATAACAATCATTGAAGACCGACTATATTTTGATCAATTCTTACTGCTGCATTATTTTAAATAAATTCTTACTTCTGCAGTATTTTAAAAGAAAGGAAAAAATAAAGGCACTTAACCACGAATTAATTCAAATTATTCATGAAGTAATTCAATGATGGGCAATATAATCTATACCTATATTTTTTTTATATATCTTAAACATTTCTCTACCCAAAGAAAAATTAAGAGACTTAGAGATATTCCAGCAGAAAATGACTCTAATTACAACATTTCCTATGAATTCGACAGCGGAACGTGGCTCTCCAAACACGGAAGGAAAATATGTGATTTTTTAAAAAAAAAATAATATATATTATGTATTTATGGATAAAAATAATTTTAACACAAGTATTCAAACAAACTGATTTTAGGTAGCGAAAATTTTAAGGCATTTGGTGAAGCTGTTCTCAGTTCCCGAGTTTATACGCATTGACAAAGATGTTAGAAATAGCGAGAAAAAAAATTATGAATTGAATAAGTATTTGCGTAAATGATTCTGAAACAACTTCAAACTTAACAAGTTAGTTTAAAGACTTGATACTGGATGCGTTAAGGTGGTTTGATTAAGTTTGGATATTAAGCCACCATTAAGCTGCAGCTTAAAGGTGGCTTAATGGTAGCTTAATGATGTTTGGACATTAAGCACCTAGAAGCTGCATTTTAATGGTGGCTTAAAGGAATTGACTTCTATAAGCCACCATTAAGCTACCATTAAGCCACCATTAAGCGATTGCTGAAAGATGGTCTTTCGTCCTGTGAATGATCTGTAATAACTAGTATGTCCTCAATGTTACCCTTGGACTTCTCTAAAGAAAGAAAATCTATACATACTAGTTCCATTGGCTGCGATGTTTTGATGGTAACAAGCTCTGATCTAGGATGTTCCCTGGTCTTACTTCTAACACATCGCCCACAATGCCCAACTTTCTCTCTCATATCAGTATTCATTCCTGGCCAATAGAAACGCTTCTTGACAAGCCAACTGGTCTTTTCCCTTCCCTGATGTCCTATATCTTCATGTAAACCTTTGAAAATTGTCCCTATCATACTCTTTGGTAAAACAAGTTGCCTTATATTCATCCCATCCATCTGTGTATTCCTGAACAATACACCTTTCCTTATCTCAAAACTTTTCCTCTCTCTAAGATACTTCTTAACCTCCTCTGTCTCTATATCAACATTCTCAGAATCTAACCTCTCACCAGTTGTTAACAAGTACTTAACCTTACTTATCACTGGATGTTCATCCTGCTTCTCTTTCCAGTTAACGGTACTCAGTTCCTGTGATTCTATTTCAGTCATATCCGGGTTGAGTTGACCAGTGTCTGTAATGAGTAGACTCTCAGCTAATGGAAGTTGTTCTCGGTCAATGAGAGCTGCTTGACAAACTGCTTTGACAGCCTCTGGAAAAATCTGGAGATGATATGGACGTCTGGATAACCCGTCTACATCTTGATTTAATTTCCCAGATCTGTAATATATCCTGAAATTGTAATTGCTCAAAGCAGCAAGCCAACGATGACCTGTGGCATAGAGTTTTGCAGAAGTTGTGACATAAGTCAACGGATTATTATCCGTTCTAACTTCAAAAGAATTGTTGTATAGATAGTCTTTAAACTTGTCGACTTCTGCCCATTTTAAACACAAAAACTCAAGTTTATGTGCTGGATACAACTTCTCGCTTTTCTTTAAACCACGACTGCCATATGCAATCACCCGTTCTAAACCATTCTGGTTCTGATAGAGAACAGCACCTAAGCCCTCAGTGGAGGCATCAATATTCAAGACGAATGGTTTAGAAAAATCTGCATAGCCGAGAAGAGGGGGATTTGTCAACTTACTTATAAGTGTCTCAAAAGCAAATTGTTGTTCCTTACCCCATAACCATGGTATTTTCTTCCTGTTTCCCTGGTTCTTTCTTTTCGCTGTTGGGTGTCCCACCAGTAACTCATTAAGTGGCTGAACTACTCTGGCATAGTCTTTGATGAAACGCCGCTTATATCCTGTGAAACCTAAAAATGAGCATAATTCTTTAATATTCTTTGGTACTGGCCATGACTTTAGTGCCTCAATCTTATTTGGGTCGGTTTTGATACCTTCCTCCGACACTATGTGACCTAAATATTTCACCTCACTCATAAAGAATTCACACTTGGATGGTTTAAGCTTTAAGTTATGTTTCTCAAGTTTCTCAAAAACTCCATCTAATCTTTTAAGATGTTCATCAAAAGACTGACAAAAAACTAAAATGTCATCTAAAAATATAAGACATTCTCTAAGATGTGAATCACCCATGCAGGTTTCCATTAAACGTTGGAAACTGGCCGGGGCATTGGTCAGGCCAAATGCCATCTGATTGCATTCATAAAACCCCAAAGGCTCTAGAGAAAAAGTTGTTTTATGCTTGTCTTCTTCCTTAATTTCGACCTGCCAGTAATCTGATCTTAAATCGAGTTTAGTAAAATATTTGCTCCCAATCAAAGTATCAATAGTCTCATCTACTCTAAGGTGTAGGCATCTTTAATGGTTTTGTTGTTAAGTTTTCTCAGATCAATACAGAACCTTAAGGACCCATCAGATTTCTTCACTTAGACTACATTTGAACAGTAAGAACTTTGTGACTTCCGTATAGCACCTGCATCAAGCATTTCTTTCAAGTGCTGTCTTACCTCCTGATACATCCCAGGTGAAATTCTCCCGTAGGGTTCCTTAAAAGGTAAATTGTCAGTAAGCTTGATTTCATGCTTAACCAAATCTGTTTTACCTATATTTGTAAATGATGTTGAGAAGATATGTTTCCATCTATTCAATAACTCTGTTGTTCTTGTCATTTCTTCACTTGTAAGATTCTGTTTGTTTATCTTAGCACCTAAAGACTCAATAAAAATATCTGAGTTATCTCCCTTATTTTCAATGGCCTCTTCCTCTGACTTGGGTCTCCATGAATCGACTACCTTAACAGGGCTAACTGAACAGATGACAGACTTTGGTAGGATCTTAATTGATTGTGCAGATAAATTACAAACTCTAACTGGTATTCTAGACGTTTTCCCAATCTTGGATTTCAGATTAATGACTCTAGGACAAATGACTAAACTCTCTGACTGTGAAGTATCTAACTGTTCAGTCATTGCTGCTTCTAAGTCATAAGATTTTTGACTAACCCCGTTATCGTTTTGACCTCATTAGGACTTATGCTAATTGGAAAATGGTTTCTTGTTTTGACCTTCAAAGCAGTGTCACACATACTTTTAAATGCTAAGTTCCATAGTTCGGGTATTTCTGAAACACATTCCAAACTACTAAAATCTCTTTACAATTTCTGATAACATTGGTGCCAATTATCAATGGAAACTCAGAACCACCCTTTTCATTTGATGAATGACTCACCAATATAGGGGCAAATTTTGTATTCTGATTTAAAAATGGGATTTCAAGTTCACCCTCTATATACCCAGAAAAGGGAAGTGAGTGACCCCCTGCACCATAAACATCCAGTTGAAAATCTTCCAATTTTCTAAGTTCTGGCTTTGGTTGTAGAGACTCATAAATTATTTTGACATACAAGTTTTCATTGAACCAGTGTCTACCAATGCATCATTTTCTCTGTCACATAATTTGACCTTACATTGGTTAGCATGTCCAACCATTCTAGAAATCAACTTTTCAGTTCCAGGGCAATGACCTTTGACCTCCTCAGTTTGCCCTACAACAGAAGAGGTTGCCCTTTTGGGTCATTTCTCTCCTTTCCTACTCATCTGACCTCTAAAATTGCCTCTAGACAGATTTCTACTCTGACCTCTAGTAAAACCTTTTCCTCTGTTGAAACCTCTATTTTCTCTGTATGGACCTAGTGGACCATTAGAAGAAATGTTTCTACTGTGTTGTACCTCTAAGTTACTTAATCTCCTACAAATGTCTTGATAATCAGAAGACTGAGAGTTATGCTATGTTCTAACCTTTCCATCTTCGATATCAAGATTCTGAGCTTTTTCTTTAGGTCTTCCTGACTGTCTTTCACTTCTGCTCTCTCTACATGAACTGTTGCTGGCTTGGATTTTGGTAGGCGAGAACTTGCATGAACTTCCTTCTGTTGCACTTTTCTGATTTCCCTAAGAAGATGTTGAAAATCTTTAATAGAGTCATACAAATGTCTGGTTGAATTTTTCAATGACTGACTAGCTAAACCTGTCCAGAATTTGTTTTTAACATGGCATCTTTAGTTATCTCATCAATGAAACCAAACTGTATTGCTTTACAAATTGTTTCGTCAATGCGAGATGCATAAATAACAATTGACTCATTCTCTTTTTGAAAATCACTGTAAAATGATTGCATAAGATTTTCATTTGTAAAAAAATTTCCAAAGAAACCATATAACTTGTGCATAATATCAGACAAGCGTGCATTTTCACCTAGAGGAACTAACATTGAATGAGCTAAACCCTTCAGAGATCTTCTAACTGCTTCTAAAAGTACATGTTCTGAATATTGTTCACTCTTTCTTAAGCACTTAACCTCAAAACTCCAAACCTCATATTTCACTTCACCTTTTTGAGGTTCATCAGTGCTACTGAAGATAGGTAATTTAGGCACACTCAGTTGACTGGTAATAAGTGAAACATTGTGATTACTGGGATTAGGAGTTTCAGGGACTGGGTTGGAAGATTCAGTCTTAGGCTTAGCCTTGTGCATGACATTGTACAAACCTTTCATTCTTGGCCCTAACTGATCCATAGCGGAACCAAATGTAAATTTTGGTGCAGTAACTTTACCTGTCTTTGGAGTACTAGATACAAGTAAATTATACTCCTCCATAGTTAATACCCTATAGTTAGGATTTTGATTCACCTTTTCAATGTGTTCAAGAATGTCATCAGCATTCTCTTCTTTCTCAGCTAAGGTATTTCTGGTTTTTTACCAGCTGTCTCACCGTTAGCCATGGTGAAAATGATAATAATCAGAAAAAGAAATTCTGATATTTTAAAAGATTTTCTAAAACAATACAACATGAATCACTCACCGTGTTGTTGCTGAAAAACCGTTCTTCGAATTCGCACAAATTTCCGAACGTTCAACACAGTCGAGCCATATCGAGGTGTGGAGTGGAATTTCAATATCTGGTAACCAAACACCTGAATTTCTTGCAAAAATAAACAGTCAATATAAATCTGTCAAAATTCTCTTAAACCATAATATCAACTCTGACTTGCTAACTTCTTACCCTGAATAACACTAAACTAAACTCAAAGTGATTCAAATTGCAGATATTGACTACAGTACTCTAAAAATTGAATCTAGATTGATTGCTATAACACCATGACTGTAGATCTATATTACTATATTTAGACTGAATAATATCTCTTTGAATTAGACTGCCTTAAAATTTTTAAACTAATATGTGCTGGATATGCTAAATGTAATGATATGATATGAAAATGAGAATGAAACTGATGTGAAGATCACTATACAACTGATTTACTTACACTCTCCCGAATTTTCTCTAAATCTGCTCTGCTGCTGCTGTTAAGTGTTAGTAAAACTGAATAACTACATGCAGTGAGGGATTGTTAGATAACAAACAGTTGATTTCAAATGTCTTCAGGTCAATGTGTTTATATAAACTTTTGAAGATTCTTTAGAAAATAAAGTTTTCGCGAATTTTACCACCACTCAACTGAAACTCACTTGCGAACATGAAACATGACAAATGAATAAGAAAATTACAAATGTCACAGGATTAGTATTTACTATGTTACTATGTATGATAATTTGCACATGTTCTTGAAACTTCTAACGCTTGTTACCCTTATGTACACACAGAAGTTAAAATGTTCTCTATTCCAACTGGTTTTTTAACCTTTGCATGCAGTTGCAGTAATATTATTTTAAATCACTTTATGAAAACCCTCTGATATAGACGGACGTTACGAGGACTGTCATTGCCCATAGCTTTATAATTAGGAGCTTAAATTCTGTCTACATGGTAAGATATTTTATTTAAACTATTTTATATTTTCAGTAAATTAATTTATGAATTAAATATTTGATATAAATTTCATTTAAATATTTAATGTGTGAATGGACGGTACGTAAGTTTTCATATTTATTGTAGATCACCATGTCATTGATGATATAAAATATTAAATACTTCATCAAATACCATCATGTCGATGGAAGATAAATAAATTACATTGAACAGTTGTCCGGACTTTTCTCTTTTCAAAGAACTGTTAATAAAAAAGTTAACACCCTTGACAATGGCGCCCACCGTTGGGGACTCCGGCGCAAACGTAATATTCATATTTCATATTAATACTTCATCGATGGAAAATCCATGGTGGTTATTGTGAAAGGAGAGTTTTCTGTGTCTATTTAATTCTATTCATTGTGTAAATTCATTTACGGCCTGAGTGCGCACTGCCACTAGTCAAACCAGTTCACTAATACTACTCAACGAAAGTACCGTTATATGGGCGGAGAAAACCTGACTTCCCGGGAAATTTTTCACCTTATCGTACTTCCTATTGTGTGACGTCACAAGCAAGATGGATGCGCCCATGGAGCTGGACACTTGTGCACAACTGTGAATACACATTGAGATCTCACGCGGTTCACGGACATTTCTGGGATAAACGATTCGTGTGAATTTATTAACTGTTTCTTATATTTATTTTGTATTGTTGTATTTTGTTGTCAATGTCATTGATGATATAACGTAAATACTGCATCAAATACCATCATGTCGATGGAAAATAAATAAATTACATTGAACAGCTGTCCGGAGTTTTCTCTTATCCGAGAACTGTTAATCAAAAAACTTAACACCCTTGACAATGGCACCAACGTTGGGTCTCGGACCCAAGACCCTCAGATGTCATGACTGACTTTCACGCACCTGTGAACCCGGTGACAAAATCATGAATCTTTGTAATATTCCATTTATTTTTATTATTTTTTTTTTTTTGAAGATCTCAAAATGAATCTATAATTTAAATAAAAAAGAGAGCTCGATTGTTGTTTTATTTATCATGTTTATAATTTGCCACGTCCATATTCAAAGGGTCTTGAATAGCCTATAACTTATTGTGATGTTTTTGACGTCATCAATGTGAGTTTGACGTCGTCAACATATCACAATTGTAGCCTACTTCAATATATGCCCACAGACAAGATACAATATTTCTATAACTTTAAGCAAAGATATGCATAAGAATAAATACATTATGAGCTTAAATCTTGAATAGTTCAAAACTTTATATAAAATATTTTTGATGGGTCATATATGACCCCTGTGGCAGCCAGTGGGTAGAGCCCATATATGACCCCTCTGGTAGTAAGAGGGTTAAATATATAAAACGTTTACAATCTCTTACTACCGTCATCAATGATTGTTGAATAGAAGGAAACTGTATCTTATACATGTATATTCGCTTGGAAACTTTTCAGTGGTTACATATGTACGAACACGTTTCTACCTCGCCCCTTTTTTTAACTTTACACGTGCGTACAGGAATTTAAAACCAAAAGCTAAAATAACAAATCTATCGATAGTTTCGACTTTTTGTAGGCAGTGACGTCCTTGTTTACATCATTCCTAACATAAATCAGTGACGTATTATTATTTAAATAAAAAGAAAAGAAAACCTCTTTCAGGTCAATCATCAATAGTGGAAATTTGGGTTAATTTCACAGAGTATAATTGGTGCTATTACCGTTTTCTATGATCAAAAGGTTTGGTTTGGTCATTTCATTATCAGTAACACCGGAAGTCACACCTTTCGGAGACATTCTCCAAGTTTAAGGGTTACCATCTAATCATGCTCCTTTTCTTATGTCATATAAAATTTTTAATATCAGGCAGTATTCATATAGCCTGTTGAAATATAACTAACAATACATCATGGAATTACATGTATAAGAATGTACTTGAATTGTCAAACAATTCAATTGCTTTGTGGGGTTAAATGAACTCTGGAGATTTAAACTCGCAATACTACTTTTCCTTGTTGCGATAAATGCAAATATCAAAGTTACAGGTAATTATAATTTGGTAGATAAGGTAAAGCATACAGTAAAAAAAATTCTCGCTACTGAAAAACGGCGGATCTAAAATTGAAGCAATTAATTTAACCTTGCTCTTTGTTACAAAAAAGCAGGATAGAAATAAAAATTCCATGCAATATAAAAGCCCCAAGAGATGCTGATAATAAATTGGCGGAACTGATATCGAGTAGAGATTATTTTGTTGTTTTTGTTTTGCAAAAAAAAAAAAAAAAAAAAAAAAAAAAAAAAAAAAAAAAATCCCTCTTCAGCTTCATAATGATCCTCACATGATCTTTTAAGATCATGTGAAAAGTTGGAAGAAGCATGTCAGGCAATGCTTGCTTTGTTTGTATTTTTACACATAAGAAGATTAAATGAGCACATCGTAAGGTATATTGCAACATGTATTTATCATAGAAAATAAGCAAGATATGCTGCTGAACACGTGAAATTCATGACCAATTGGTTCAGGCCGCAGGGTGAGGTTAGGTCAGTCATATATAAAATTTTATCCCATGTTTACCCCTTTATCCCGTGGATATGACTCATTGGATAATTTTTTTTTATAATCCACAGTTAAGTGCAGTTGTGACGTCACAATGGTTTTTGCGTTAGCGTGATGAAGTAAAAAAAAGTGGAGTCCTATATAAAACAGTGTAAAACATTGGTTGTGAAGTATTAAACATGGGATAAAAAGAATCTCCCATGGTTTGTAGTTGGATATGACTTTTATCCAACTCGTTGTGTGTTTTTATCCCCTCGCCAAGGCTCAGGGATAAAAAACACACAACTCGTTGGATAAAAATCATATCCAACTACAAATCATGGGAAATCCTATATATATATATTGAAAACACTTGGGAAGTAAAATGTTCGTTTTCGCTTCTGAACATCAATGAGGCAAAATATTGGCATAAATATAATGAGTAATGACCCTTCTACCAAAATTGTGAAATTCATGACCCAAAATTCAAGCCCCAGGGTTGATCTAAGTTGATCATTTATCAATAATGTATCATATCTTTAAAAAAATATTTTCAATTCCTGGCACGGAGATTAAGGAGGCAAAATGTTTGCATGGTTATATTGAGTACAGTGCCAAGATTGTGAAATTCATGACCCCGGGGTACATTTTCCAGTTGGCGCTAACTTTTTGATACTGAAAATGTATCATATCCTGGAACTTCTTGCTTACTATGGGGCATCAAGCACGCAAACTGATTATTTTTAGCAAGTTGGAACAAGTTTCAAAAATATGACAGGGAATCCTCAAAAAATTGTAAAATTTATGTCACCTGAGTTCAGAGTCCCAGGTCCAGGTGGGGCTGTGTTGGTCAACAAGACAAACTTATGAAATTATTAAATCTACTAAGAGCTAGACTAAACTATGTATATTGTAATAATAAATGTACAGTTTTACAATACTCACATTAAAGCTGGAACAGTAAGTAAATAATTTATATGTAATATTATGGGGTCATCATCTGTTTTTTCTTTCTTTTTTAATATAATATTGATGAATGATATTTGTCTGTGAATCTTTACTTTTCACTATTAGTATTCTTATTATCATGTACAAGTATTATTATTTATTGTCTTTGTCTTGACCTATTATACAAGGAGAGGGTATGTATTGGCTTTGCCTGTTTCCCGATCCTTATTGATTTATTCAATAAAAATATGTTTAAATTAAACATATGATATTCAGGTGACGATTTCCACCAGCAAAAAAAAAAAAAAAAAAAAAAAACAAAAAAAAACAAAACAATTCTTTCGTGTGATATAAAATTAAAGATACATAAAACACGTAACTTGAAGAAATAAGGTTAAAATAGAACGTGCATTTTAGCGATTTTTACTCTTAATTAACCTTAGATCCCTTACTCAAATAATCCTAGAAGGTGGACATAGCATTGTCATTTTGTCGCTTCTTTTTTGTTACATATCACTAAAAATATCTTGGGATTGTAAAAAAGGTTGATAAAAGTAATACAGTTGTTACATTGGAAGAGATCAATATATCTCAGGAGATATGAAACAACTCAATTCTACCTAAACCGGTAAAGGTAGCCTAGTGATAGAGTGTTCGCTTCGTGATCGGGAGGCCCGTGTTCGATTCTCCTTCGCCGCGCCGCATCAAACCTAAGACGTAAAAATAGGTAGTGACTGTTCCTTCGCCAAGCGCCCGGCAGTAAAGGTGAAAGTCACGGGTCAATTGATTTTTGAGACCTTAAAACCGAGGTCCCATGTTACGGTAGGTGTTGGCACGATATAGAACCCTCACTGCTCAATGGCTCAATGGCCCTAAGTGTCGAATATAGGTCTGAATTTGAAATCATTCACTGGCACACAGTGACGTCTCTATATGAGTGAAAAATTCTCGAATCGGACGTAATACAGCATACAATCAATGAATCAATCAATTCTACCTATTACGTAGAGGTAGAAAAACCAGCTCTACATAAGAGCATCCACTCTCAAGATTTTGAAATGTAGCAAAACAAAACTTTAGAAAAGGAAACATGTCGCTTGTATGGTGAATGCATCCTCCGAAAACTTCCAGTCGGCTAATTATTCCTCAGAGTGGCACGCTAACGGAAACTAGAGGTAACTTCTGTGATTATTTCCTTGTGTCCATTGTTAAAAAAAACAAACAAACAAACAAAAATAACAAACAAACAACAAAAATAAATAAAATAATTATAATAAAAACAAACAAACAAAACAAAATTTAAAAAAATTCAAATATCAAAGCTAGACATGTCCGATTTCATACAAAAATCGAATCTCTGATTGAACTTAAGACAAGTCTTGTTATAAACAAATTATCAAAAGACTGATCTAACCAATGTTATCTCTTTCCTGTAACTTGATTATATATCCAAGTTTAATTCATATCACACGAAAGAATTTTGATTTCCCCCTCGGTAAAAATTGTCAGTTAAGTCACTGTACATGTAGCATTACCAATTTAGTTGTAATTTGTCAACGAAAATTGAAAAAAAACCTATTTAATATGACAACATTCATAATCAAAAGTGAAGGCCGCTGTCGACCATCGTTCTATGGTATATCCCAGTCATTTTCCTAGAGGTTAACATGAATGTACTTCTTTTCTTAAACGTTTCTGATAGCAATAATAAGACTCTAATATATAAAAAGATATAAAAGTCTAAAAAGTTCCTTGTTTCCTTATCTGTTTTGCCGTCTCATATCACTAATCGTAGCACGTTCTCTGGCTTGCATCTGAGGGAAATATATTTTTAAAATGTCCTTAAATAGAACTCTGAAAATGTAAAAAAATGTGAATAAGAATTGCGGAAACTAAAACTAAAAAACTAAAAATTTCTAGATTAGGGATATATTATTATTATTATTTCCGTATGAGTTATTTCAAATTTTATCTTTGAATGATTATCAGCTGCTCTTGAAAAATGGGTAACAATTCTTCATCATCCATGTAAGTAAAATAATCTAAAACGTTTAATAAGTAAATATAAGTAATAAAGTTTGCTATAATTTAAATGTTATTTTAATTTCTGAAACATAGAATTTTTTTTTACCTATATAACATTTATTCAATCATGAAAACATTCGCTACGGATCCAATATCCTATTGGATTTCTGGCATTTATTTTTTAGATAACCCACCTTTTTTGGTGGACAGGCAGGTTGTGTTTTGTAGGTAATTGAGAAGTTGATTCTCATGTAATTTTATGTTATGTTTGTTGGGGGTCAGATTGCATAATACTTATTGAAGATACTCTTTGTTTGTCAATGTTTTCTAGTCTTTTCTGACCCCCATTATTTGTACAAGTTTTATATTCGTCATTTTTGATTAAATAACATTTTTTTCAATTCAACACTGTGTTACTGGTTCTGCCTGTCAGGTCAAAAACCAAGCTTCGTCAACTCGACAAGGTATTTAGACAATCAATGGAACATAAATAACATTTATTCAATCATGAAAACATTCGCTATCGTTAATGATAAACAATAAATCTTAAAAGTTTATATGTTTGCTAATTACTGAATTTTTAGAACCCTCTATACACTATACACTAAAGCGTTTTGATTCCATGGTATTTTATTTTGCAGCTGGAGTAAACTGCCCTTAGATTTAAAATGAAATAAATTGAAATTTACAAGAAGTACATTATTCAGATATTTTTTTTCGATAGACCCGGGCTTTACAAAGCCATATATACCCGCACTGTAAATGCCCCCGCTACCACTTTTATCTAATTATCCGATTGACTCGCAAGTCTATATGTCAAAAACTATAGTTATCTACAAAACATTCAGTAACTTATGTTGTTGAAATGCTGACAAAATGATGACCAAAAAAAAAAAAAAAAAAAAAAAAAAAACCCACGAGATTCCGTTTATATGAATCAGAAAGAACGTAAAATATTAAAATATTTAAAAAACAAAGGTTATTAACTTAAAATAGGGAAATATGCTCGCCCTCTGTCACGCAAGCTCGGTTTGCTTTACCGCGCTAATCCTAGGGCAAGCATATTTTTCGACATTCAGTCAATGACCCAAAGCGCATGTGTTACGGTTTACGTCTTTCACAGAATAATAATACCAGGTATTATATATCATCTTATAAATCTTCATTCGTCTTGTCAGTGAAACCTGTGTTAGCTGTCTGCAGCATATTTTGAGGGCTGTGTTCCTGAGACTGTGTCATGTGGTGGGGACCTCCCGACAGGTAGCCTGGAGGAGAGATTTGGCCGACCTCAGGGAAATGGTGGTGAATTGGATAAATCGACAAAGAGTTTACAATCTGAAATGGAAAGCGGAAGTAGAATAGAAGGGTTCCGATTCAAAGAATCTGACTGGGACACGACGCACTGGCAAAATAACCTTCGAGTAATCTGGAATATTTTTCAGGTTCTGTCTTACCACGAAGAATCGTTGTTCTTATCGGATTGTTCTAATAGTCCTCCTGGATTTACTTTGCTTCAGTTACTCACATCTGATGTAACATATCCAATTCCGCCAACATGTATTGTAATGAATGGGAAACTGTATTTATCTAGTTCTAAGTACAGAGGAATGGCGCGATTTGGAATTAAATCAAGACCTAACCTTTTTCAACATGGGCCATGCAACAACGGAAATTATCGTGGTCTGTATGACTATGATGATGCTCATTGTCTTTTCAGTGACTTTTGGCCCCCATCTGCCACCTCTTGGGTAGACAGATGTCAATCATGGCCCAAGCCTCGTATTGTTCATGACATAGTCCGAAATGGATGTCATTGTGTAGCAATAGGTCATAAACTTGGAAACCATTACAACACTGAATGGAGAATTTCATTCTCTCTAGCGGAACAAATTCTTGTGAACTCAATGAATCACTGTCAATTCTTGGTATATGGCTTGCTTAAAATTTATTTAAAAGAGGTAATCAACAATGGTTTGGACGATAAGGATAAGTTACTGTGTTCCTATCATGTCAAGACAGCAGTTTTCTGGATGATTCAGACAAACATAATGCCTTTCTGGTGTCCAGAGAATCTCTTGGAGTGTTTTTGGTTATGCTTTAAACTTATCATTAAATGGGTATATCAGGGATACTGTCCAAATTTTTTCATTTCCGAGAACAACATGTTTTTGAGTAATATCCATGGTGAAGCACAACAAGATTTATTCACTAGGCTGTATGGACTGTATGAGAAGGGTTTAGCTTCCCTGCTGCATAGTGCCTGCATAGGGTCTTTTGTTATAAAAATGCTCTTTATTCCAGGAGGCATTATATGTACGAATGATCGAAAACTTATCTCTGAAATTAGGTTTGACGCAGAAGTAAGTGAAGAAATACAAATTTCCTCTCTAATACCTACAAAAGACCTATATCATTGTTTGAAGGCTCTACATACAGTAGAACAGATACGAGGCTTATGTCTGACAGAATATCAGGCAGGTCTATTACAAGCACTTACTGTCCACATTCTCCAAGGAACTGCTTTTGTGTTAGCAGACATGTACCCAAACAGAGGAACAAATAAGGTGAAGTTTATCACTGACAAAATATCACGCAACATGCTGAAACTAACATCTAAGTTTGGGTTTATATCTGACATGTTGTACTTTGCAATATTTTATTACAAAACATTCAGATGGATTGAAGCACTCTCCGTTTTAGAAATTACGAAGGGCAGGTTAGCACAGCCATATCTTATGTATGATAATAATGTAAATAAAGAGAGGTATATTGAGGCTGTTGGAGGACTGTCCTGGTCTACCAAGATAAGAAAGGCTCTGGCAAAAGATGTAACACTTCACAATGATATCATTAACATATATATCAATGAATTAGTACCAGAACAACAGAATTGCATGCAGAACAATGAAACATTAGTGTCTATTCCACCGTTTGTGCTCTTACATATGTTGGAGGTCTTGTGTTACAAACACATCGATATAAGGAGAGCACATACGGCTCTGTATGATCTACAGGTCCTGGTACAATACAACAGAGAGGGATACATAGATGACGCATATAAAGATATATCATGGCAGATACTGGGAATCTGTCAGCAGGTTTGTGGGAATCTCCAGGCTGCTTTGGACTCCTACCATCAATCACTCCAACAATATCCCAATCACCAAATACAAACTGCTACAGAAATGAGAATTCGAGATCTCCTTCAGCGTTTTCAATGATTTCTTTTTTAATTATTCAAAATGTCCTAATGATATTTTTTATGAATCTCAATGTAGACAAAAATGGAAGAAATTTTATATTTGGTTTGAACATTACCATGAACATTCATAATACTTTTTTACTATGTACAGTGTGTCATATAATGTATATTAAAGATATTGATTCCAAATATTTATCCTCAAAAATTTTTTATGTGCATTTTATTTCCCTTATTATATTAGAATATTTATTCCATATATTTCCACTTAAAGCTTTTACTGCTATTCCAGCCCCGCCTTAGCCTCAGGGCCATGATTTACACAAGTTTACCCTACACTACTGTGGGGTGTTTCCATATTCAGGAGCGACCTACAGACCCTGAAACGTGTTACTACCCCACACGCACGCTGCACGAACGGTACACGCTGGCTACACGGTTTGCACGAAACGCTGCACAGTTTACACGAAACGCTACACGGTTTACACGAAACGCTTTCAGGGATAGACATTAACTTTCATATTCACTTGCCTTTCGGGCAAGTGATCTCAAACTTTGACTTGTCCGAATGCAAAACTTGGTTGCCCAAAATAGGAAAGAAGAAAATTATGCTAAGAAAAAAATGTGATCAAAAAACACTTATAATATGCGTTTGTAATTAAATGTATACAACTGTCCTTGTCAATTTAACCTCTTAACACACACTGCCATGCAGCAATAATCCTCCGCTTCCTTTTAATAAAAATCACATTTTTAAAAATTATTTTCGGTAGGATCTTTTTGTGAATTGTAATTTTCAGAGATATCTGTGAAGCAACGCTAAAAGAAGATAGTGTCTACGAAACGTATATTTGATCAGGTTATATATCAGATGTTACTTATTTGTAAGTGAATAAATAATCTAAATAAGTACGAAGTAGGTAACAAAGTTGTTGGAGGTTCTAGCGTATTTTACCACGAAAGAAAACTGAACCCGATTTTTAAATGAACGGTATAATCTAGAAACGCTATCAAGGAATTCCGAATGATGTCAGTCAAGTACCTGGCGGAAATCAAATGTTCAATTTATTGTCTATTTACGAATTAATGAAAACTAAATGATATATACATTTGTATATAAAAAAAAATTACTTGCCCGATCGGACAAGTACTTCGACAGTTTCACTTGCTCGAACTGAGAATTTACTTGTCCCGGGCAATTGGACAACCGTTAACGTCAATCCCTGGGATTTGCACGAAAGGCTGCACAAAACGCTTTCTACACGTTTCTCACACGCTTTGTACACGATTCTCGCACGTTTTGGCCTCGATCTGGATTTTCTATTCGGAATCTCTCGGACTTTAGTTAAATTAAGTAAATAACGGATTAATCAAAGATTAGTTAAGAATTGCAATCATTCAGATTAAGTTAGGATTAGAACTCGCTACACCAGTACTATATTAACAGATAAAAATACACAATGTTAAGTTGTATTTTATTAATATTATAGTTGTCACTGAGTATGTGACGCGCCCGGTGAAATGCCTATCATCTTCTATGTACAAAACTTTTTCACTAGACTAAATTACACACTGAAAAAATAATTATATTTGTCATTCATAATCTTTACAGCATTCAATCTTTTGACAATTATAGCTTGATATTAATAAATCGTTTTATTGCTGACAAATAAACCCAGTTATTGATTTGAAAAAAAAAATGATTAAATTGTGTATGATTTCTGTAAACGGATTGATTTTCTTTCCTTTTTTTCTATTATTGATTGATTTATTCATTTTTTGATTTAGTAAATAAATACTTTCATTTGATTGAATTAGGTTCTGTTTATAATTTGCAAAGGTAATATGTACACTATATCAAATAAGAACATTGTGCAGGATGGGGGGGGGGATAGATTACCGAGACCTTGCTTCTGTTCATGGCTTAATGTAACTGACACTTGTTTCAGTAAGTATACCATTGGGAAGAAATTATTATAGAAACAAATGTCCTTTCTAAAAAAAAAAAAAAAAGGATATCCATATCTCCAGCGGGACCAGATACATGTAATTCATTAACTGCACTTTAATTAGAATGGTAAATATATCGCTTCATTACAGAAAAAAAAAAACTTTGACTTATCATTGAAATTTAATATGATAGAGAAGACGGGGGGATTGTTTATCAAATAAAAACAATATACCCACCACCTTGCAAAATCCTTGATTTCAAATCCCGTCTAGACAAAAAAAAATGTAATCAATAGTTGCGGCTCTTAACAATACATTCAATATACATGAATACATGTCCAGTGTCCTAAAAACTAAAAACATATGCTCTAGAACTGCGTGATTAATAATACAACAAATTTATGATTACTCCGGATTTTTTTCTTTATCAGCTGTTTATTTTTTATTATTCACGAATACACTGGGAAATTAATTCACTGTTTACAGAGAATCGGATAAATTTAAGAAATAAAATCCACGGGTACTTATTTTTACCCATTAAATACTAATACAACTATTAAATTTCACGAATTAAAAATCAATCGTTATTGTTGGGTGTCATCTTAGCCATGATTGACAAACTATAATACATATACATGTAGCAGAACAAATTTTCAGTTCCCGGCACGCTGTTGAAAATGACCTCGATCACAGTCGTAAGAAGAGTGTTGGAAGTGTAATGAAGATTCCAATACATTTTTAAGGGGTGCATCAGGCGCATCCCGAAAAAAACCCAACATTTTCTTTAAAAAGAAAATTATCTATAAAAACATGTTAATAACAAAAACTCAAAGTTTGTGTTTACATTTGAACACCCCACCCCTCCCCCGGAAATATTTAACATTGTATTTGCCGATGCATGTGAATTATGATTCATTTATAAGACAATTATTAATCAACCAATTTTATGCATAAAAAGACTATAAATAACTCATCGTTTAAAAATTATTTGTATCACAATCTTGTAATATAAGAAAATTTTGTTCGTTTATAAAGAAAAAAAAAATAATTGCGCTCCCCGACCTAGAATTCCCATACTTCACATTTATAGCAACGCAATAAACTTAGTATTTTATATTTCACACCTGCCTTATCTATTTATTATTTTGCATTAATCACCAATATGTTTTTGTAATATCTATATACCACAACTGTTAAATGGTGGAGAGATCCCACAGGACGAAAGATCATCTTTCAGCAACCGCTTAATGGTGGCTTAATGGTAGCTTAATGGTGAATTATAGAAGTTAATTCCTTTAAGCCACCATTAAGCTGCAGCTTCTAGGTGCTTAATGTCCAAACTTCATTAAGATACCATTAAGCCACCTTTAAGCTGCAGCTTAATGGTGGCTTAATGTCCAAACTTAATTAAACCACCTTAACCCATCCAGTATCAAGTCTTTAAACTAACTTGTTAAGTTTAAAGTTGTTTCAATATCATTTATGAAATTACTTATTCAATTCACAATTTTTTCTCGCTATTTCTAACATTTTTGTCAATCCGTATAAACTCGGGAACTGAGAACAGCTTCACCAAATGCCTTAAAATTTTCGCTACCTAAAATCAGTTTGTTTGAATACTTGTTTTAAAATTATTTTTATCCATAAATACATAATATATATATATATATATATATATATATATATATATATATATATATATATATATATATATATATATATATATATATATATATATATATATATATAATGACAAAAAGAACTACAAATTCTCAAGAACATTGAATATAGAATAGATAAGACACAAAGAGAATGCATGAGACTGCATGAATTGTTTGTTGTTAAATTCAGTTAACTCGATAGAAAACTCTCTTTTGCTTTCAATACTATAAACATTGCAACTCTCCTGATTTTTTTTTTTTTTTTTTTTTTTTTTTTTTTGTCGATATGGGTTGGTCTCACATAATTCGGATTAAAACAAGGTCGAACTATTACAAATGTAACAAAGTTTGTCTTCCGGTATTGCATCAACAATTATAATAAGGAACAATTTAAGGAAAATAATAATAATATTTTTTTAAAAAAGGTTAATTCTCAGTGTATTGAAATACATAGTAAAAAAAAGTTAAATATAATCGTGAGAAAAAGTTAAATATAACACATACTTCAGGCCCTTATATTAATGAATCAATTTCATTGGGGTGGGTGGAGGGCATTAACAAGAGATCTTGATAATCAAAATAAAAAGAAAGTTATACGACAATACTTAAGAGAGAGAGAGAAAAGCAGATATTAAACATTATTTTCTATTTCTATTATTTATTGAGATGGGGTGGGGGAGTTAAAACCGTTTTCTGTTGTACAATTATATTTTATTAATTATATATAATGTACAGTTAATACTGGCAAATTCAATGAATTAGGGGGCACTGCAACTAAATCGTCCACAACATTTTCTGCTAAAGCGTCCATTTTGCCCGCTAAATTCTGTAAATCCACTGAAATGCCAAGTGCCGAAGCACGCAACCGGCGGTGAAATACCTCTAAGTAACTTTTTCAAATAAAGCAATTCGATCCTCCGATGGTTTTAAGTTTCTTTTTTTTTTTTTTTTTTTTTTTTTTTTTTTTAAATTGAAAAAATGAAATAATCTGGAAAAGGTATTCCATTGGTCTTAGAACTAGTACATAAAATTAAGACATTGTTATTTAAAAGAATTCTTAGACACTGGCAAATTGAGATATAAAATGACATTTATTGAGTAAATTACATAACCTGTGAAAAGCTTAATTTTTCTTATGTCCTATCAGTGGCGTATATTCCATATAGGCAAAAAGGCTGTAGCCTACACATCATTTTCTCAGGGATAAAAACTTAGTTGAAAAAATTGGAAAAGGGGAGTTGATAATAAATCTTGCCTATTAATATTATTTTGTTGCAAATGCCAAAAAAAAAAGCATTCTTAGCAGTCCGCACTTTTATACCTATCCCATGTAAATGATTTCAGTTTTGCTTTTTTAAGCCGAAATTCAAGTGTTATATTAAGGAGGCTCATTACACCCACAGTTTATTTT